ACTTGAGAAGAATGTGTATCCTGTTGCTTTGGGATGTAGAGTTCTATAGTTGTCTATTAGGTCCATCTGTTCTAGTGTGTTGTTCAGTGCCTCTGTGTCCTTACTTATTTTCTGTCTGGTGGATCTATCCTTTGGTGGGAGCATGTGTTGAAGTCTCCTAAAATGAATGCTTTGCATTCTATTTCCTCCTTTAATTCCGTTACTGTTTATTTCGCACATGTTGGTGCTCTTGTATTGGGTGCATATATATTTATAATGGTTATATCCTCTTGTTGGACTGACCCCTTTATCATTATGTAATGCCCTTCTTTATCTTGTTACTTTCTTTGTTTTGAAGTCTAGTTTATCTGATACTGGCACTGTAACACCCCTTTTTTCTCCCTGTTGTTTGCATGGAATATCTTTTTCCATCCCTTGACTTTTAGTTTATGTATGTCTTTGGGTTTGAGGTGAGTCTCTTGTAAGCAGCATATAGATGGGTCTTGCTTTTTATCCATTCTATTACTCTGTGTCTTTTGATTGGTGCATTCAGTCCATTTACTTTTAGGGTGATTATTGAAAGATATGTACTTATTGCCATTTCAGGCTTAAGATTCGTGGTTACCAAAGGTTCAAGGTTAGCTTCTTTACTATCTTACTGTGTACCTTAACTTGCTTATTTCACTATTATAAACACTGTCTGATGTTTTTTTATTTCTCTCCATTCTTTTTTCTCCTCCTCCATTCTTTATATGTTGGGTGTTTTATTCTGTGCTCTTTTGTGTTTCCTTTGACTGCTTTTGTGAGTAGTTGATTATTTTTTGCTTTCAGTTAGTGTTTGGTTGTTCTGCTTTCTTTGCTGTGATTTTATTTTTTCTGGTGACATCTATTTAGCTTTAGAAGTTCCTCTAAAATACCCTGTAGAGGTGGTTTGTGGGAGGCAAATTCCCTCAACTTTTGCTTGTCTGGGAATTGTTTAATCCCTCCTTCATATTTAAATGATAATCATGCTGGACACAGTATCCTTGGTTCATGGCCCCTCTGTTTCATTGCATTGAATATATCATGCCATTCTCTTCTGGCCTGTGAGGTTTCTGTTGAGAAGTCTGATGATAGCCTGATGAGTTTTCCTTTGTAGGTGACTTTTTCCTCTCTCTGGCTGCCTCCAATACTCTGTTCTTGCCCTTGCCCTTTGCCATTTTAATTATTATGTGTCTTGGTGTTGTCCTCCTTGGGTCCCTTCTGTTGGGAGTTCTGTGTGCTTCCGTGATCTGAGTGACTATTTCCTCCCCCAGTTTGGGGAAGTTCTCAGCAATTATTTCTTCAGGGATACTTTCTATCCCTTTTTCTCTCTTCTTCTTCTTCTTCTTGTACCCCTATAATGCAGATATTGTTCCTTTTGTATTGGTCACAGTTCTCTTAATATTGTTTCATTTTTGGAGATCTTTTTATCTCTCTGCATCAGCTTCTATGCATTCCTGATTTCTGATTTCTATTCTATTAATGGCTTCTTGCATCTCATCCATTCTGCTTTTCAGTCCTTCCAGATATTGTTTTATTTCTGTAGTCTCCCTCCCTATTGTGTCAGTTAGCTCTTGCATTTTTCTCTGCAGCTCCATCAGCATGGTTACGACCTTTATTTTCAATTCTTTTTTCAGGAAGATTGGTTAGTTCTATCTACCCAGTTTCCTTCTCATGGGAGGATGTCTATGTGATTTTAGTCCGTATCAAATTCCTCTGCCTTTTCATGGCAATAGAGGTAGTTGTGGGGAGTTGGCATGTGTGTCAGCTGGGAGAACATCCCTTCTTGCTAGTTTGTGGCCTTCATCTCCTGGGAGAACGGCAACCCCTAGCGACTTTTGCTGGGCATCTGTGCGCAGATGGGGTCTCTGATTCTTGCCTGGCTGCTGTGGAGGAAGCTCCGTGCACAGTTGCTGTGGGCATGTCCCCTCTCTGGCTGCTGCTCCACTATGGTGGAGCCAGGCTGGAGGGGTAATGGGCAGGAGGCTGTTTTTCACTGAGGGACCTCCAAGATACGCTGCCACCCAGGGGGTTAGGGCGCCTGCAGTTCCCCTGGATTCCCAGCTGCTAGGCTGAGTGTGCCAGGACGCTTCCGTCCAGCTGTGAGTCCCCTGTCCCTTTAAGACTTTCAAAGAGCAGTCATTTTTCTTTTGTACCAGGGGTGCCAGCTGCGGCAACCTACTCACCGGTTTTACTGTTCCGTTTCTCTAGTATCCAGCACCCCACACACTGTGTCTGTGCTCTGGTGCGGATGGCTAGGGCTGGGTGTTTAGCAGTCCTGGGCTCCCTCTCCCTCCCTGCTCCAACTCCTCTCCTCCCACCAGGGAGCTGGGGTTGGGGTGTGGGCACTCAGGTCCTGCCTAGCTGTGGCTTGTATCTTACCCCCTTCGTGAGGTGCTGGGTTCTTGCAGGTGTAGATGTAGTCTGGCTGTTGTCCTGTATCTTCTGGTCTCTCTTTTAGGAATAGTTGTATTTGTTGTATTTTCAAAAATATATATGGTTTTGGGAGGAGATTTCTGCTGCTCTACTCATGCCGCCATCTTGGCTCCTCCCAATGATTTCTTTTGGAAATAACTGTTCTTTGAGTTCATACTTGTGAACACATTTTATCCTCACCACAATCATGTGAGCTTTACAGGTTCATGAATAGGGAGGAATTTTGCCCCAAGAGAGATCAAATTCAGAGTCTCACTTATACCTAGTTTAGATGATTTAGATAATGCCATGTGGGACTTTTGAGCTGAGAAGATTTAGAACTTGAGTTAATGCTATAATGGCTTAAGATTCTGGGGGACCTTGGGATGGACTGAGTGTATTTTGCATGAGAGACAGGCATGAATCTTGGATAGTCAGAGAGCAGAATGTAGTAGCTTGAATAATGATCCCCCAAAGACGTTCTTGTCATAATCCCCAAAACCTGTGAGTTATCTAACATGGTAAAGAAACTTTGTATGAGTAAGTTAAGGATGTTACAATGAGGCAATTATCTTGGTTTATCCAGGTGAATCTAGTGTAATCACAAGAGTCCTTTTAAAAAGGAGGCAGAAATGTCAGTCAGAAGGTGTGACAACAGAAGCAGAGGTTCAAAGATTTGAAGATGTTACACTGCTGGCCTTGAAGATGGATAAAGGAGCCAGAGCCAAGGAATGTAGGTGGCTTCTAGAAAGTGGGAATGGCAAAGAAATAGATTCTGCTGTAGTGACTCTAGAAGAGGCATGGCCCTGCTGACACTTGGTTTTGTCTCAGTAAGACCCACTTCAGACTTCTGGCCTCAGGAATTAAGAGAGAATGTTTATGCTGTTCTGAAGCACTGTGTGTGATTTGTTACAGCAGCAATAGGAAACCAATACAAGGTCCCACTGGGCTTTGGTGTAAACGGCTTAAATTATAAACAAAAAGTAAACAAGAGGAAAAGATGAAGCCAGATGGTAGCAGACCAGAAAGGAGCAGGCATACAGAGCAGCTCAATCATGTATGGGCAGCCTGGAGAAGAGCTGCAGTAGTGCTTACTCTCCCTGAGCTAGGAGAGGCTCGTTCCTTCTAGTTAGGTTAGACCACACAGGGCCAGGCTCACAGGTGGGAAGCACTATGAGGCTGATGTCAGTTAAGGAGGAATTCTTAACAGGGTTGTCTGAAAGCAGAGTTCCCACTATGATTTGGGGTGTGCCCCATTAATGGAGATGGTAGAGTATTGCTCTCTGTGTATTACAATTATTATTTTAAACTTATCTGCTGTCTGATAGACAGAAATCCCTCCCTCATTTCTGGAACTAGGTGTTAGGCATTCTCTGTATCAGTTTCTGACTATAATATGCATAAGAAGTACCTGGGGAATTTGTTAAGCTAGAAATTCTGAATCAGGTCAGTGTGGGATCCAGGTGAGTACTGGTCTGTAGCAACTTTAGGTAACAAAGGTTTAGTGATTCTTAAACTGGAGCACACATCAAAATCTCCTGAAGGACCTATTAAAACAGATGGCTGCCATGCACCCCAGAATCTGACTTAGTAGGCCTCAGTAGGGCCTGAAAGTTCACATTTTTAACAAGTTTTAAGATGATGCAGATAATGGTCAGGAACTGCATGTTCAGAACCACTGCTCAGGAAGAGTGTACCTGTGACCCACAGCTTTGACCTTTGTGGAATTTGGTGTCATGTCTCCGCTCCTGGAGTTTCAGTTCTTTAGTTTACAAAGTCTTTTCATTGCTCCTACAAAAATCACTTGGGAGAGGTTATTCATTCTTCCTTGAGTTTAGCTCATTTATCTTTGCTAATAAAACAAATTTCAGACATTTCTTATTAGGATTTTGGTGAGATTTTTGTATAGAAGCCTCTGTGTCTCTGCTGGCTCTGGAGACTCATTGCTATTAAGCACTTTCTGTGTGCCATACCTGGCCTCAGGTCCTTTGCAGAGTCAATGTGACCATCCCTCCCTTGATTGCAGCATAGGGGAGACCCCCTTTGGGACACCACCTGTCTGTGGCTCTTGCCCTTGTGGTTATACCTGGAAATTTCTCTGTACACTACTCTGTAGGGTGGAGGAGGTGTCAGCTTTGCCTGTGTATGAAACTCACCTCATGCCTGGCACTACATACTAGCTGGACTTTGCCACCAAATATACCATCCATCCCCTATAATGGTGCCTGACAGTCCAGGGAAGGGTGGGTTAAGAAGGTGAGAATGAGAGCAAGGGACACTGGAAGAAAGGGAGATGAACAGGGACTGACTGGGTTAACTAAGCCCATCAGGTCCCATCAGGGCTCCTAGGAGGCCAGCCCTGCTAAGACCCTCAAGGCAGGCAGTGGCTGTGATGCCTGAGGTGAGGGGGGGTGGGCCCCGAGTAGGGCAAAGACTCTGATAACAGCAATCCCCTCTCCTCTCTTCCCCATCAGGGCCCTGCCATCCTTGCCCAGTTTCTCCACTTCCTTGATGGCCACAGGGCCTGCTCAACAGATCCTTGAAAGCCCACTGTTGAAGGAGACAGACTGGGCAGAAAACACACAACAGCCTCCTCTCGGGCCCACTTTATTTGGGGGTGGGTGGGGAGGGCTCTAGGCCTGCTGTGCCTGCAGCAGGGCTCGCACCTGGCCAATCTGCCAGTCGACACTGGAGCGTGCTGTGCCACCCAGGGCAGCGTATTGCTCCACACTGTGCCCATAGTCCCACACGTGGCTCACATCACCTGAGAACAGGAGACTGTGGGAAAGGAAATGGTTCAGGGCAGCAGGGCCTCCTGGCCTCAGGGACCCAGGCTCACCTGTGGGGAGGCAGCAGAGGGGAGGGGCCATACCTGATGGTCTGTAGCTCCTGCAGCGACAGCTGGTTGAGGGCAACTCCCTTGGTCTCGGCCATGAACACAGCTTTCCCAGAGGCCTCGTGGGCCTGGCGGAATGGCATCTGAGGGTGCCAGGGTGGAGAGCAGCGCTGACACTGGCCCCCTCCCTCCTTGCTCTGCCTGCACCCTCCCTTACCACCCTCACCCCCACCTGGGGACTTCACCAGCCCCACTCCCTTCCCCCACAGCTGCCCCAACTTACCCCTTTGCGGACCAAGTAGTAAGCAAGGTCAGTGGCCAGCATGTCAGGACTAAGAGCCTGTGCCATGTTCTCACGGTGAATCTGGGGACCACCGGCCAGGGGAGTGGGCAGTCCTCGTGACCCTGAGGCATGATGCTGCCAGCCCCAGGCCCAAGGCCTTCCCCTTTCTGTCCCACCCTATTTTGCTCTCTCTCCATAAGCCATCTTTCCATAATCACTGATAGTGTTTAGGTGTGCTTCCAGGACTGCCTTTTGTTTCCAGAGTCCTCATCTCAGCATGCATTAGAACAACTAGGAGGGTCTAAATCACTACACCTGGGGTAGGGCCTAGGACTGCATGTCTATCAAGTTCTCAGGTGAGGCTGATGCAGATGGTCCCAGGCCACACTTGGAGAGCCACTGCTTTAGAGGCACAACTTGAACTATTTAGAAATGCAATGACATGATGATGGGGATTTGCTAATAAATAACGGGGAGACAGGTCGGGGGTAAAGACAGCTGAATCAAGAATGGCCATGAGTTGATTATTGTTGAAGCTGGGTGTTGGTATAGAGGGATTCATCATATATTGTCTCAACTGTTGTATATTGAAATTTCCCATGGTAAATGATTAATCTGGTCAGGCCAGCTGACAGGACACCTTGAGTCTAACGCACTTGTGCTCCACTGTGCAGCTTAAGTTTGTCCGTTCACTGTTCCCAGGGGCAGAAACAAGCACATACTCCCCTCCCTGCCCCAGGTGTTCTGAACCCACCCACTCTAACCTCCTTTCAAAATCACCTTCCTGGCATGCCCACCCCAGAGTTTAGCGATCTGGGGGAGAAGAGGTGTGTCTTGCCTGCAGTGTAGAGATGATGCCTGTGGCCACCTGGAGGACAGCACTCATGGTGTCTGACACTTCAAACACGGCTTCTTTGTCCTCCTGTGAGGCACATGGCAGGTAGTGAGGGCCCAGCAGCCTCACCCACTGAGGCATCCCCTCTGCCTTCCAGTGGGAACACTTAGCCCCTTGCACACCCAATACGGATGCAGAGGAGAGCTCTCAGGGCAGTCAAGGGCTGTGTGCACATGATGGGTAGTGGTAATTCTGTGGGCCTCTGCCTGGGTGTGCCCAGGGCCCTAATATGTAGTGTATATGCAGCTGGGTCCTTCACCCACCATTCCCAGCCTTGCACCTGTAAGTCCTTGTTGTAGGTGCTCGGAAGTCCCTTGAGTGTCATCAGGAGCCCAGCACACTGAGGAGAAAGTGAGGATCAGGAAGCTGGACCTCAGAGCCCACCCTGGAAGTTCCCTTAGGACCCTCTGGGTCCATCTAGAGGCCTTGCTCCAACTCCCTGCCTTGCTCACCCGCCCAAACACTCGCCCCGCCTTGCTCCGAATCAGCTCCAGGCTGTCTGGGTTTTTCTTCTGGGGCATCAGGCTGCTTCCAGTGCTGCGGACAGAAATTGTAGGGCTGACAGGGCCCCCCTGCCCCTTGGCTGGTCTCCTGGCTGGAGCAGTCAGGTCCAGAGGCACACAATCCGGGTCTGCCAAGGGCGTGGGATGGGAAAGCAGGAAGCCATGCTGGTGGGTAGAGAACTGGGGTTGGGTAGGGCGAAGCCTTACCTGTAGGCATCTGAGAGCTGCACAAAGCTGAATTCCTTGGTGCCATAGAGGATGAGATCCTCAGCCATTCTGCTGAGGTGGGTCATGCACAGCGAAGCCCAGAACAGGAACTCAGCTTGTGGAAGGAAAGGGAGAGCAGGCTCTCTGGTCCCCAGACCTCTCTTGCTCATTACCCAGCTCCAGGTACACTAGATTGGGGTGGAAGGAGGCTGGAGAGGATCTGGGGCTGGGGACAAAGGTAGCAGCACACAGTGCAGAGGACTGGCCCTGGACGACAAGCGGGCCAGCTCCGAGGACTCACCCACAAAGTCTCTCTCGCTGGTGGCATCCATGCTGTTGACAGTGATAGCCCCAAAATTCAGTTCTGGGGGAGTGGGGAAAGGGGAAGGCAATAGGGCTGTTCTGGTGGCAGAAGGAGCCTCTTCTACCCTGAGCCAGGTTGCCCAGCCACCTCCCCCTTCATCTCTTTTCAGGGAGGAGGAATGAGGAGAGGTAGGAAGTGGGGGGAAGGTTTCATACAAGCAGGAACCCTGAGTCACCCCAGCACCCTGCACCCCACCATGGGCCTTCCCTTGACTTTCTAGCCTCAGTATCCATAGGTAATAAATGAGGATTTCATCCAGACCCCTGCCTCTTTGAGTGTGTCTGCAAGTCCTGGCAGGTACTAAGGGTGATCTCCCTGGGGAGGAGGGACAGGGTGCCTCACCTGCTTGGAGCAGCTCCCGATCCACACCCAGAGGATTGCCTGCAATGGCTCCACTGTAGGGACAGGGAATTCCAGGTGACCAGGGCCCCCAGTAGGCAGGCCTCAGCATGCACCACAGACACATGCACATCCAGAGCTAAGGCCTGGTTGTTAGGGCTGCAGTGCAGTAAACGTGGGTATAGGATGCGAGTCCCCATGCTGGGGGGGTGGCAGCCGTGGGTGCTGGCTGGCTCTCTGGAGCCTCTCTGCAGAGCTCTGGCCCTGCTCTGACACATGTGCTAGCCTGGTTGTCCTCACCTTAGAGAGAGCTGGGAGTCCATGCCAGGACCCCTTCCCACCCATGGAGGAAGAGCCCTACAAGGGGAGGCTGGCTATCTGGCCTTCTATCCTCCTGTCCTTCCTGGCTCCTCCTCTTCTGTCGATCTGAGGGCCATGCTAATCATGTGGCAGCATCTGTCCCCACCCGCAGCCAGGCCCTCAGAGCGCTGCAGCCTCACTCACCTCCCCAGGGGCAGGATATTGATCCGTTTCTGCACCTCCAGCAGCCTCTCAGAGTCTCTAGTCAGTGCTACTGCATGGCTGTGGGAAGCCAGGGGACAGGAGGGTCAGGGTGGCCTGGGGCCCTGCCTTCCATCACAGCCCCTTCACAGTAACGCTGCCCCACGCCCCACACTCACCTCAGGATCCAGTGGCTCCAGCGGATGGGCTGAGCCCTCTGCAGGTGCGTGTACCCTGGGAAGAGGACATCACGTTCCCTGTGGGGGAAGATGAGAGGCAGGGGGCCTGAGGTGCTCATGAGGTTCAGGTGAGGCCTGCCTGTGACACCCAGGACCCTGCAGGGAAGAGCAGGAAGGCCTACCAGGCATCTTCCTGCAGGAGGGTCCAAGTGATCTCCTGGGGACAACACATCACAGGGAAAAGCCCCGGAAGTGGGGTAGTGTGATCCAAGGACTGTACCAGGGCTGTGGGACTTCTTGGGGGTGAGGCTTTGGCCAGAACCGAGTGTACATTACACCTTCACCTCAGGCCTCTGCAACTCGGCAGCAGATGAGCAAGGGACGAGGTACATGGTGGGGACCAGGTACATGGTGGGGACCACATGGCAGTGGGAGCTGCATTTGTGAGCTCCTGATAAGCTCCCAAGGACCCCAGAAAAGTCAAGGGCACTTAAAAATAGGCAGGGCAGAGGCAGAGGTACTGTGGGTGATGGTTCTGTTGTTTTTTTAATAAACAGCTTTATCAAGATGTGATTCACATATGATTCACCCATTTAAAGTGTACACTTTAATGTATAACCATCACTACATCAATTTTAGAACATTTTCACTACCCTAAGAAGAAACCCTGTACACATTAGCAGTCACTCTCTATTTCCCAGCACAGCCCTCCAGAGGGATGGTTCTTATGCCCTTATTTTCCCAGGTGGTGAAGTCTGTGAAACAGGGCTCACAGGGAGATGGGCAAGAGGAAATGTCAGCCTGTCTCTGACACCAAATAGGGACTTTGACACCAAAAAGCAGATCCTTAGCCAGGTCTGCAGAGAGCAAAGCCAGCCCCATTAGACATGAGGTCACAGAAGCCAAAGCTTAGGATAAGGCCAGCAGGAGGCATCCTGTGCCTCTGTCCTTTGCCAGCCATGCTAGGTGGGGGCAGGGGTGGGACAGAGGACCTGGGGCACAGGCAGGCTGAAGAGTGACTTTGGCTACCCCAGGCTTCAAGGCGTCTGCCCAGTGCCTTAGCTCCTGCCTGTGAATCCTCAGAATGTGAGCTTGCTCTGCCTGTTGAGCGAGGCTAGCATGGGAGTCGGGTACACTGCAAAAAATACCCGACTCCTGGCTGCTCTGCCTCCCTTGGTCCCCCCCTATGCCCCAGGGCCTGGACTCCCTACTCTATTCACCCCTGCCATCTGGGTCTGCCATTCAGGCTGCTGTTGCAGGGGAGAGGAGACCTGGCTGCCCTCATAGCCCTGTCTGCACCCTGGGTGTCCTCAGGAGACTCACGCCTCTGCCCGGTCCACCAGAGTTCTGATGAGCTCCCATAGAAGGGCCAAGAGTGCTGAGCAGTTCTGCCGCATCCATAGCCTGAGGTCTGTAACCACCTGGAGGGAGGAGGAGGTGGCACGCAAGAAGACATATGTATTGCTTCCCTGGGGAGTCGGGAGTACTGCTGAGCCCTAAATCTGCTGCCTGGGCTCCCCAAGGTTGGGAAGGCATGGGGGTTGGGGAGGGGGCTGGCAGCACCTGGTCATTCCGACTTCGTCCTGTGTGCAGCTTCCCCGCAGTTTCACCAATGAGCTCCTGGGAGTGGAGGGAGGCAAGGGGTCAGGGTCTGCCTGCACACAGCCCAGTAGGGTCAGCCCAGGAAGGGTGCTGTTCCCTGCCTTCCCAAGCCTGTTGTCCCCCCTTCTATCCCAGGACCCCCAGTCCTGCCCAAGTCTCTGCCATCTCGGCCGAGTCCTGCTGTTCTGAGTCCTGCCCGCACTCTGACAGTGATGAAGGGAATAGAATGGTGGTGCTTATTCTCAAAGTGGCCAGCGTGAGGAGGAGAGTGGAAGCTGAGGGGGGAGTTGGTACCTTCAGACGCCGTTCGTTGGCTGTGTGGATATCCTCATCATTGGGGTTTAGTTTGAAGGTGCCCTGGGCCCACTCCTTAGCCACCTGTAGCAGATGGCAGCAACCCCGGGGGTTAGGCGGACAGACATCAGCAGCCAAGAGCACTCTGACCCTGGTGCCACCACCCTGATCATCGGCTGTCCCTGTATAGGAGCTGTGTCCTGAGAGGGCCTCCAGGAAGAGCCTGTGTAGCTCCTGCCCCCAAGGGAGCATCCCAAACCCAGCATATCTTTGCCCATGAACCCCAGGGGCTATTAAAAGATGAAGAGAGACAGCACAGCACAAGGTTAAAGGGCACCTCTTTAGGTGTCTAAACCCCATGAGGGGAAATGACCAGCTTGGAATGACACTGCAACCTGTGCTCAGGGACTTGGTGGGAACCTGGGGCCATAAGGAGGGGCTCTAGGGTGGGCCTTGGGGTATAGAAAGTACCTTGTCCAGGCCAAGGAGTATCTGGTTCATCTCGGCCTTGGTGAGGAGCCCTGCCTTCTCCAGGCCCCGGCTGTAGGCCTTGCTGCCCTGCACATCCACCTCCCACAGGTGCCGGTCATAGGCGATAGACGAGTTGAACTTCTCCATGATGGGGTCCACTGCACCCACAAATCGGCCACCCCACAGTTTACCGCTCTGGCCAGGAGAGCAGGAGCAATTAATCTCCTCCCTGTCCTCCAGAACAGAGTCTCTCTTAAAGGGCCCTCAGGAGAGTTCTCATTTCTGATGGCGGTGGGAGCCAGCAGGAAGGACCACTCTCACTGGATGGAGAAGGAAACTGAGGCTCAGAGAGGGACAAGAACATGCCCAAAGTCACTCTGGGAATGAGTGTGGGAACGTGGCTGAACACTGAAGTTAGGGTTTTTTACCACCACACGACACTGCTCCAGGAGGATGGTGGCTGGGTTGAAGGCATCCCTGAGACCACAGCAGAACTTCTGGGACCTTTCCTGGCACTGACCAAGGTAAGAAGTCACTCTGAAATCCAGAGTCACTGGCTAACACATACTGCATCCTCACTGTGTGCCAGGCATCATTCTAATTGCTTAGTATGCAAGGAGAGAAACCCTCTGAAGTAGGTACCAATACTGTCCTGCTACAAACAGGGGGACACCAAAGCACAGAGCAGTTATGCAGCTTGCCCTTGCTGGGGGCAGTAAAGCCAGAACTGCAGTCTAGCAGTTTGAAGTCAGAGCCCCATGCTCTAAAGCCCATATTCCACCAGGGACTCTCTACTGGCTCTGGTCTCCTACACTTTGCTGCAGGAACAGCCAAAGAGGTACCTGAAGGTCCCCTCAGGCTCAAGATACCTGCATTTCTCCCCCATGACTTGAGGCGGGGCCTAAAAATCCAAACCCCAGGACTCCTTTTGGAGAGTGCACCAGACACATCTGTTGTCACTGGCCTTCTAGGAGGCCACTAGTTGACCCTCTGCCCTCCAGAGACCATGGGTAAAGGGCTTGGACAGAAGTACCTCTGTTTTGAAAGAGGGCATAGGCCAAGGCATGGGACAGATGGCAGAGGGAGTGCAGTCAGAGTGCCCAGAGTGCCAAGGATGGGGAAGAGTGTGCAGAAGTGACTTCACTGGCATTTTTTCTGTGGAGAGGGGGTTTATAATGGCCACTGAGAACATATGTCCTCCTCTGTCACCCTGCAAAGTCCCAGACCTCTGTTAGTCACCTAACTGTGGGCATGTTGGACCTTTCTAAGCCTCAAAGTTGTTCCTATATTAAATAGGGATGATATAGCACCTGACAGAATGGTTGTGAGCATTCAATTAGATAAAACTTGAATATGCACATAGCACAGTGCCTGGCACTCAGTCAATTCTAGGTATTACTAAAGGAGGGGCTGAGGGCTGCCAGGGCCAGGGTGTGCCTTCGCTCCACTCCTGGGTGCTGTGTGCATGATGGGGGCCTTCACCTCCACCATGCTGTGAGCTGACCCCTTAGTGTCCAGCAGCCTTGGCTGCCACTGGACTCTGCCCTACAGAAGCAGCCTCCACCCACTTCTGCATTTTCAGCCTGGTCTGTCCCTTACCCCTCTGCTGCCTCACAAAGCCTAGATTTCCAGTGAAGTACCACATGAGACCCTGGTCCTGTACAGAGAGTCAGGGCCAGCCTGCCCCTCAGCCAGGGGCCTGGCACCACCTTCCCCAGGGGGCCCTGGACTCCCTGCCTGGGTTTGTTAGTAATAACAACAACTACTTAATAAGTGAGGCTGCAGCCAAACCAGTTAGTGCCAACCACAAGATGGCCTGTGGCAAGCAGAGGTCACCTGGTGCTCTGGTCTCCTGAAGGCAGCCCAATCTGCATTGGAGCCATGCTCCCACCCCACTGGCAGGCTTCAGAGGACCCCAGGACAATGTCAGAATGCAGTACCACCACCTGGGCACTGAGAAGAGGAGGAAGCCCAGTGTGGGAGGATAAGGCACTACTCCAAGCCAGCGCACATCTGAGCTAGAATGATCCCTTTGGGGCATGGGGCAAGGGCACCGGGATGGGCTAGGATGAGTGAATGCATAAAGGAAACACTGATGTTGTTAATGCTAGTATCATTAGCCACCATTTATTGAGCACCTACTATTGCATGGCCCTGTGCTAGGCATTCTACATGTTCTTACATTCTCCTATGAGGTGGCACTGTTACCCCTATTTAAAAAATGAGGAAAGAGTTCAGGGAGGCCCAGTGACCGCTTCAGAAACCAAGTCTGTTTGGTGGCAAAGTCCAGGCCCTGCCCCCAGGCTTCCACATGACCCAAAAGCTAGCAGGACAGGCATTATTTATCGGGAGAGAGGAAGTGACTTGTCAGTCACTGAGGGCCAAAAGGGACTGGAACCCAGACCTCCTGCTTCATAGGCCAGGGGTTCCCTTCATTGGCAACAAGCAAGCAGCCCCTTTTACCTGAAGGGTGCAAAGCAACAACCTCAGGGTCCGATACCTTACAGAGGGAGGCAGACAGCTATTATTATCCCCATTTGACAGATACATCAAGGAGGCCCAAGAAAAGGAACCTGTGCTTCAGACTCCTGCCACTCAATGGTGGGAAGAGAACCCAGGAATCCACCATCTCTAAGGAAGAGAAGCCAGTGAGACAGGAAGCCATGGGGCACTGGGACCACCGGGCATGGTCCACCTGGCCCTTTCCACAGGCCTGAGTCACATGGACTCTGCTGCACAAAGACAATTGCTGCTGCAGGAGAAGTGGCACAGGGTGGGGACTGAAAGGAGGACTTGTGGAAAGTAGAAATGAAGAGGGGAGAGGGTTGATTGAGTGAGCAGCACCTTTCCCACCCGGGCAGGGTGCACTGTCAAGTACGTCGTCAGGTCAGGTCAGGGCCACCTTCTCCGGCAGCACACAGGCCGCCTGGGAAGGGAAAGACAGGGGAGAGTGGCAGTGCAGGGGGCACCGGGAAGTCCGGGGAAGGACCGCTTCCGGGCTCCGGCAGGTGCTCAGTAGGTACGCCGCGCCTGGAGCCAGAGAGCACACTTACTAGGGCTGCTGGCAGCAGGCATGGCACAGGGAGATCAGTGTGCAGGTCGCGGCCCTGGCTGGCCCCCAGGGAGCCCCTCCCCCTCGTTTGGGGGCTCGGAGGACCTGCGTCTCCGAGGTCCCACTCACCTCCGATGCCATGTTGGGCGGTTCCTTGTTGTTTGGGATCCTCGGTCCTCCGGGTCTGAAAAACAAGACGGGACTGAAGATCTCTGCGCCCGGGCGGGGTTCCCCGGGTAGGGCTGGTTCCGAGCTAGGACACCGCGCGCGGCCCAGAGCAGCCTGTCGCGAGGCGGACGTGGGCAGCGCCCAGCGTGAGCGTTATGGTCCGTGGCGTCTCTGCTCCGCCCGCTCCGCGCGTCCCACCCGTCCCGCCGCGCTCACTCACCACGTCTGGCCGCGCGGTCAGTCCCTCCGCCAGCCCCGCGTTGGCTCTCTTCTGCCCCGAGAGCGTCAGCCGCCCTGCTCTGTCCCCGCCTCCTGGCGGCGGCCGCGACGCTCCCAGGCGGCCGGGAAAGGTGGGCGTTGCCTCCGCCCTCCAACCCCGGCTGTGGGCGGGGCCGTGTCCCGCACTGCTTCGGGCTGAGGGACTCCAGGACCGGGATAGGGGACCACGGAGGTGGTTCCTGGGCTACAGGGCCCACGACAGCTGGCTGAGCCCCGCGCTGGAGACCCGGACTGCGGGTAAAGCCGAAGACACCTGGCCGGGCCTGGCGAGCTCACAAGATAGAGAAGGAGGAATGGCATGCTCCACCGTTCACTTACTCAAAAAAACCCATCTTTCTATGCACCAGGTACAGAGTGAGACACTGAAGAAAACGAGCCAAGAAATGATGCCCTCCCCAAGATGCTCTAACAAAGCGTGGGCGAGGGCAAGGTGTGTGGGGAGCACGGAGGGCAGCATGGAGGGGGGCGTTTATCTTGGGGGTACTCAGGAAAGAGTTCCTTGACATGATTAATTAATTATTCAACAACACTGTCAAACTGTGTTCTAGGCGCTGAGGGTACAGTCTCAAATTTCTGCCCTGGAAAGGGCTTCTGGTGGAAATGGCCCCTGAGTTGGGTATTGGAAGATACATGAGAGGGAGTCAGCTCGGTGAAGAAGGGAATTTGAACATTCCCTGCAAATGGAGCATCCCAGGCAAAGTCCTGGAGGTCAGAATGTGAATGGCCAACCTGTAGAACTGGAAACTTGCCCAGCGTCTATAACAAAAGGTAAAGGGTTCCTGGAGGGGAGGAGGGGTGGGAGACTGAGTTTGGCAAGGTTGTGAAGGGCTTTGAATGCCGAGGGAGAGTTTGATGTTGGTCCCGTAGGTCATAAGGACTCAACAGGTTTTAAAATCTGGGGAGCCATTTTTTGTTTGTTTGTTTAGAAAGATAAATCTGGCAACGGTTTTGAGGTTAGAATGGAGCGGGGAAGAGGCCAATGGCTGGGATGGCTTGTGGAATGAAGGTTTTTAGCCCTCATTACAGAGTGGAATTACTTGGAGTTCCTCGAATGCATCAGGCTGTTTCAAGCCTTTTTGAATGCTCTTCCCTGTGTCTGGAATGCCCTTCTCTCACTGTTTTGTGATTCCCATTTGTCCATCAGTATTCTAGCTAAGCATCATCAATGTTGAGGCAACTCTGAGCTCATCCAGGTTTCCAACTCTGGGCTCCTGTGGGATCTTGTAGGAACATCTAGCAGTCTTTGTCTGAACTGGGAGTGGTGTAGCTGTAGTTTCTGGGTCTTCTTTCCCACCCAGCTGTGAGCTTGGAAGCAAGCCCCATCCACCTTTTTCTTTGTGACCCCCAGCCCTCTCTTCTCTTCTCCCACAGAAGCCCCAGAACTGGACCACAGCAGCCACTAGGTGGATGAAGAAGCCCATGAGACCAGCTATGAGCCAAGTGGCCCTGAAAAAACTAAGCATTGTGGCAGGTCCCTGGGATCTACCTTCTAGTGTCTGAAGTGACGTCCCTTGGAGGCCAAGTGTGAAAGCCAGTGGTACTCTATAAACATGAGGTTACATTCCTAAATATCCAACAACATACTGAGGCCAAACCCTCTGGCAAATGAATGGAGGCTGGAAAAGGAGTGGGTGAAGGTATTTGAGAGCAGGGCTGTAACAATACCTAACGTGGTAGTTCATGAGGCACCAGGCTCTGCAGTAAGCCTTCACATGATTGATCTCATTTCATCTTCACAACAGTCCTATTTGCAGATGAAAACACAAAAGCTGCAAGGGAACTTCAGGGGTTACAGGATGTGCCCGTGTTAGAAGGGGACAGTCTGGCTGCCCACACTGTATCACATGGCAGAAGAGAGACTGTCACTCCAGGTTTGCTTGCAGCAAATAGCAAGCATGGCCTGTGCCAAGGCCACTGCAAGATTGGGGATGGGAACTCAGGAGAAGGAGGAAGACAAGGAGTCAGCATAAAGACTTGTGAAAAGAGAAGCCCAATGAAAGGAGTCTACAGCCAAAGCGGTGACAGTAGACTCTTAAGTGAATGGGTCCCATGATCTTAAGGCAATGTCCTGGGCATTAAAGACTCATGGGAGCCAAGTTCATTGAAAAACTGAGGCCCCTGAACAAAACCTCAGTGAGGCTGAGAGAGGCTCAGAGAATTGTGCCTGCCAGTGGCCAGTCTGTTACTGGTGCAGGGAAGATGGGCAGGAGGGAGAGGCCATCTCTAGTCACCAGAAGGACACCCTCCACTACCTTTAGCCCATAGAGAGCTCAGAATAGAGCTTGAGGGTGACTATCTCAGGCCTTCAAGAGGCAACATTCAGCCCAAACAACATCTAGCTGTCCTGCCCCAGTGGGAGGTTTAGGTGGACCCCACAGCGTGGGAGCATGACTGAAAGGAAGACTAGATTTGGGGCCACTGTGGAAAGCAGTTGCAGTTTCCTCATTCTCAAGGACCTCTTTAATCACTATCAGACTCTTCCCCTTCAGACTGCCAGGATAGATGGGTCCTCTGAGGTTTTGGGACTGGTATTCATCCATTCCCATGGAATTGCTAGGGTTGCTTGAATCCTATAAAGCAACAGAAATAGTAGCTGGGATTATATCAAATTTTCAAGCCTTATTAAATGACAGGTGCCCAAATTCATTGCCAGAAGGCCCAGACTACAAGAAAGGCTAATGAAATTCTTTAAGCTGAAGGAAAATGACATCAGATGGAAGCTTGGGTCTATAGGAAGGAATAAAGAATACTGGAAAAGGCAACTGTACATAAAAGACTTTTTTCTCTCAATTTCTTTAAAGACAAATTACTATTTAAATAAAAAACAATAACAATATGTTGTTTTATCATGAAGTAGAGGAAGATCACAATGGAATTACAGTGTTGTAAGGTTCTTACATTATACATGAAGAGGGCAAAACATGTAAGTTAAATATTGTAATCCTTAGAGTAACTACCAAAAAAAAAGGTACTTCTAAAAACCCAATAGAGGAGATAATATGGGATATTAAAATATTCTCAGTCCAAATAGAGGATGCAAATAAAGGACACAAGTACAGATAGAAAAAATAGCAAGATGATAGACTTAAATAACTATGTCAAGAATTACATTAATTGTAAATGATTAAATATTTTAATTAAAGGCAGAGATTGTCAGAACGCATAAAAACGTAATATCCAAAGGTATGCTATCTACGAAAACTCACTTAAAATATAAAGACACAGACTAGTTAAAAGGATGGAAGAGATATAAGAAATTAGAAATCTGAAATGGTTATATTCATATCAGACTAAGTAAATTTAAGGCAAAAAATATTGCCAGAGATAAAGAGGATCCTTATGTAATTATAAAAGAGTCAATTAATCATCAAGTGCTAACAATTCTAAGTTGGGTATTCTCCTCATCACACAGCTTCAAAATATATAAAGCAAAGATGCACAGAACTAAATGGATAAATAACTCCAAAATTATAAATGGAAATTTTAACATCCCTATCTCTGTAACTGCCAGAAGATATGGAAGATCTAAACACAAGTCATCAACCAACTTGACTTAATTGATATTTATAGAATGTGCCACCCAATAACTGCAAAATGAATTATCGGTGCCCTTTGCAAGACACAGAAGGATGATAACATTTTTTTGTCTTTAAAAATGACCCTCAAAGTAAATTACAGTATAAATATATACCGTGGCATATAACTCAGCAATAAAAAGAAATGAATCATTGATACTATGACTTGGCTGAATCTTCAGAAAATTATGCTTAGTGGGAGAAAAAAACAATCCCAAAAGGTTACCTATTGTATGATTCTATTGATACATTTTGAAATGACAAGTTTTAGAAATGAAGGACCCATCTGTGGTTGTCAGAGATTAGAGACGGTGGGGGGAGGTGTGTATAAAAGGGCAACATAAAGAATTGCTGCAGTGTTGGAACTGTCCAGTATCTTAACTATGGTGATAGATACAATAACCTACACAGGTGATTAAGTCGTGCAGAACTTAATACATAGTCATACACATAAAAAGTATAAGTGAAATGGGGAATTCTGAATAAGATGGGTGGATTATATCAATGTCAATATTCTAGTTGTGATATTCCACTGTAGTTTTACAAAATGTTACCATTGGAGGAAAACAGGCAGAGTATTGACAGAGGCCTCTGTATTATTTCTTACAATGCATGTGAACTAAAATTTTCTCAAGAAAAATTTCAATTAAAGTATATTAAAAAGCTATTCATATTCACTTTAGAAAATACAATAGTTCATCGCATGATATATTTTTTAAATTTCTTATCTTTTAGAAACACACTTTAAAGAATTTTGTAGTGAAATGATATATCTGAGGCTCATTTTAAAATGCTCCAACAACAGTGACAACAAAAAGGAGTGAGGAGGGTAAATGATTTTCAAAATGCCAATAGTTGAAGTTGGTATGTTTGAAAATTTCCAAGTGTTAAGAAATGCTCAGAGTTCCACTGTTAAAACCCCAGTGAACCTAGATATACACACATATGTGTGTATGTATGTATATATGTGATATATATCATCTTTATTGAGATATAATTGATATACAATAATATACAAATATTAAAGCCATATAATTTGGTGTGCTTTAACATATATACATCCATTAAGCCACACCATAATAGAGATAGTGAATGTATCCAACATACCCAAAGTATGCTTGTGCCTCTTTATAATCCCTCCCTCTTGCCTCTCTCCATCCATCCCCAAGAAACACTGATCTGCTTCTTATAACCATAGATTAATTTGTATTTCTCTTGGGTAAATAACTAGGAGTGAAATGGCTGGATCATAAGGTAAATGTATGTTTAACTTCTTAGGAAATTATCAAACAGTATTCCAAAGTGGTTGTACAAATTCACCTTTCCCATCAGCAGTATATGAGAGTTCCAGTTCTGCACATCCTTGGCAACACTTAGAATGGTCAGTCTTTTTAACTTTAGTCTTATAGGTGCATAGTGGTATCTCACTATTGTGTTAATTTGCATTTCTCTAATGACTTATGCTGAACATCTTTTCATGTGGTTACTTGCCATCCGTGTATCTTCTTTGGTGAGGTGTCTATTCACATTTTTTGCCCTTTTTAAATTAGGATGTTTGTTTACTGTTGTGTTTTGTGAGTATTTTATATGTTCCAAGTGCACTTCTTTCATCCAGGTGCTTTGCAAAGATTTTCTATCTGTATGCCAGTACCAATCTATATTAGTGTAACACTGTAGTTAAGTTTTGAAATTGAATAATGTGGATCCTTCAACTTTTTTCTTCTTTTTCAAGTTTATTATGGCCATTCTGGATCCCTTGCATTCCCGTGTGAATTTTACAATCAACTTGTCAATTTCTGGAAAAAAGGCAGGTAGAATTTTGATAGGTATTGAGTATTTAGATCAACTTGGAGAGTATTGATATTTTGACAATATTTTGTCATATTTGACAATATTTGAAAAAATTTTGATGGTAAGTCTTCTAGTCATTTACATGGGATATCTTTAACTAGATCTTCTTTAATTTCTTTCAATAATATTTTGCAGTTTTCAGGGCACAAGTATTTCACTTGTTTGTTAAATTTATTCATAAGTATTTTATTCTTTTTGATGTTATTGTAAATGGAATTGTTTTCTTGATTTCATTCCCCAACTGTTCACTGCTAGTTTATAGAAATACAATTGATTTCTATATATTGATCATGTATCTTGCAATCTGGCTGAACTTCAGTTTGTCTGGTAGCTTTTTTAGCGGATCCCTTATGATTTTCTACATACAATATTATATCATCTGCAAATACAGATAGTTTTACTTCTTCCTTTCCAATCTGAATGCATTTTATTTCTTTTTCTAGCCTAATTGTCCTGGCTAAAACCTCCAGTACAATATTGAATACAAATGGTGAGAGTGGACATCTTTGAATGTTCCTGATCTTGGGGCAAAAGCATCCAATCTTTAACCATTAAGTGATGTTAGATGTAGGTATGTTAATTTCCTAGCATGGCTATAACAAAATACCACAAACAGGCGATTTTATAACAGAAGTTTAATTCTCTCACAGTTCTGGGCTAGAAGTTTGAAATACAGTTGTCAGCATGACCATCCTCCTTCCAAAGACTCTAGGGAAGACTTCCTTGCCTCTTTCTAATTTCTGGTGATTCCTAGAAATACTTGGTGTTCTTTGGCTTGTAAGTGCATTTCTCTGATCTCTGCCTTCATTTACATGGCCTTCTTCCATGTGTGTCTCCTCTGTTTTTGTATCAAAATCTCCCTCCTCTTTTTCTCATAAAGACACCACCAATCGTTGGATTTAGGGTCTACCCTAATCTAATATGACCTCATTTTTACTTGAGTACAATGCACAGACCCTATTTCCAAATAAGATCACATTAACAGGTTCTGATCATTAGCACTTGAATGTATTTCTCTGGGGGACACATAATCCCTATGGGGTTTTCATAGATATCCTTTATCATGTTGAGAAAGTCCCCTTTATTCCTAGTCTATTGTTATTTTTGTTTAAGCAGTCAATTATGTTTATAGAGATTTAAATAGTAAGAAGAAAGTCTTATATTTATTAAAAAATCTACATATTTACCTATGTAGTTACCATTTCCTGTGGTCTTTATTCCTTTGGGTAGATCCAGATCTCCACCTGCTATTGTTTTGCTTCCATCTGAAACATTTCTTTAACATTTTTCATAGTGCAGGTCTACTAGTGATGAATACTTTCGGCTTTTGTATATCTGAAAATGTCTTTATTTTATCTGTTGTTCTGAGAAATATTTTTTCCATGTATGGAATTCTAACTTGACATGTTTTCCCCAGTATTTTAAAGATGTTGCTCTACTGTCTTTCACTTGCATTGTTTCTGATAAGAAATCTGCTGTCATTCTTGTCTTTGTCCCTCTATATGTAACATGTCTTTTTTTTTCCCCTCTAGCTGCTTTTAAGTGCTCTTTATTACTGATTTTGAAGAATTTGATTATCATGTGCCATGGTGCAGTTTTATTCATTTTTCTTATGCTGGATTTTGTGGATTTATCATTTTTAATATTAAACTATTTTTCTAACCCTTACTTTCTCTTCTCTTTTGGACACTCCTTTTGGACATAAGCTTGTTCCACAGCTCAGTGATGTTCTTATTCATTTTTGTTGATTCTTTTACTTTCTGTTTCAATTTGAATGGCACCTATTTATATGCCTTTAATTCATTAATCTTTTATTCTGCAATGTCTAATCTGCTGTCATTCCAATCCAGTACCTCAAATCTTGTAGTTTTCAACTCTAAAAGTTTGGTTTGGCCCTTTTTGTATCTTACATGTCTCTATTTAACAGCCCTTTTTTTTGTTCCTTAAGGTGGTAATTTTATCATTTTTATATTTTAAGTTATTGTTATTATATGGGAAGGATATATTACCTTTTTATTGTGGTAAAAAGGTATATAATATTTCTCAAACTATTCAAATTCAGTTAGACAATATCCAGCATATCATTGATAAGTTTTCACAAATGCCTAGGGTGCCTAATGGTTTTCTTGGTTTCACTGGATATGGCTGGTAATTGTAGGTCTGCTTTGGTTATGTAGCTGTATTCCTATTATGTTAATGTGTGTACGCAATTTAATTAGTAGTTTAAAACCTATACATGCTTATGTTACTCTACAAGAAGATATGTCAAAGAAATAATCAATCTTCCCATGTTTTCTTCCATCTGCTACTTCTATAGCTTTTCTTCTTCCTTCCTAATTACAACCCTTAAGTAGAATTC